CTGCAATAGCGGTATACCCAGAGCATACAGTCACCACAGCATCCACGCCCACCATCTTCACACACGCTGGTCACCAGAACATCCCTGCCCAAACCGTGTCGCAGCAGAGCATGCCGCCTGCATTCCAACGCCGTTCCTGGTGCTGTTATATCTTTCGTAAACGTCCCGCAAAGCTCATTCTGCCAGTGACCTTGCTTGCGAGTTGCGCGACAATTTGCAGGTGTGTGCGAGGGCTGGGGGCCTGAAGACAGCGTTTACTTCTCCATCACCGCCCTCACAACAGCTGCTCGGTCAAAACGTCTCTAGGGCTTATAGGGTTTAGGGTTAGCCAAGCTGAAGCTGATGCTGTGTTGTGCCCTGTTGCTGGCATTGTGTTGATTCTGTGAGTTGCCACTGGACCTGCGAGCCCGGGAGCGCCAGCAAGCGCATGGCGGTCCCTCCCAACACGTTACGTAAGACTAGGCCTGGCCGCAGCCAAATACCTTAAACTCCGAATCCGGAACGCTCCTGATGGCTAAATCCCACACGTACTTGCTGCAGCGGTGATCTAGTCGGGACTTTCCAAAGCGAGCGGCCACCCTCTTCCCCCCACAATATACCATATACTGCAATTAATCTGAGATTGTTTTTGCAGAGACCCCCCCAAAAAAACGGGACGCCTCCTTTTTTTAACCACGAATTAAGGTGGGCTACGGAGATTTGGCTCCATCCCACCCCGCTTCGAGGCCTGTGTAGTGGATCAAGGTCTTGCACCACCCTGCATAGACCCCAACAGTGGCAATTATGGCACTAGGGGGATACGAAGTGGTCCAAGATTTCCTCCATGCGCTGTAGGTCGGGTTTCAGGGCCCGGGGGTTCTCATGTCTATTGTTTTTCATTGGGTGTATGAAACAATTCCTGAAGGGAAGGAGGATTGTAATTGTTTGCGGGGAGGAATGCATTTCCTTCGATTGCAATTGCAAATCGCATGCCTGCACGCGGGTCTCCAATCCCCTCCCCTAATAATTGCCCAACAACACTCCCCACTACCCGAATATATTGCCACTATAACTCAGGAAGAACTTCCATCATGAGGGGTTGGGGGGTTCAGTAATAGGGTCATTGGAACCCTAAACCTTAAACCCTAAACCCTTAAACCTCTGAGCGATGCGCGTGTCTAAATCCTTAAACCTTAGCCCTAAGCTGGGTCTGTGAAGGCTGTTTTTCAGCGTCGCCATCCTGCTAGCTTTGGTGCTCCTGGCTGCCAGACTGAGTTGCCGGTCTGCAGCCAAGTGAGTAGAGGTTATAGTGGACTACAGTAGTATCTAGGGATATATGAGCCATTATCTAAACTCCTTCATATGGATGTTTTATTTGGAGGAATATACAGGGAATATTTTAAGGGTTGTTAACGGAGATACTAGGAGTTTAGACTTTAGCTCGTATGAGGATAGATGAAGATATATAGGGATATGTAGGGGTATGTAGGGAAATGCATTTGATTATGTACTCTGCCTTCCCCAAAATCAGGGGGAGATGGACAAGAAAATGGAAGCAACCTACATGATTTAGGGTCAAGGACTTTAGGGATGAAGGAGCCAAAATAATTAGAATATTGGAGAATCAACTGGATCATCAACTGGAAACTGGAGTTTCAGAGGGCTTTGTACTGGGTAGCTAGAGGATGTTGGTCATGACGCCCAATTGCCAAATTTGGACCCATCATCGTCATATCACAGGAATAGAGGGTCTCAAGTTTAGGTGTTGGGATTCCCAACACCTTCTCGATATCTATAATGTAGGGCTTGGTGTTTAGGCGTACATACACACCACCACACTCGAATCCCTAAGACCCTCCCGAAGCCTAAGTCGCAAATCCCTAAACCTTAAACCCTGAACTCTAAAACCCAAACCCTAGGCAGCTTTGTAGCAGAGCTCGTTCAGAGGGAGGCTGGGGAAGCGGCTTCGCGATTGAACCAGCAACTCCACATTCGATTCTGGGTCAGCCTTGGCAATTCTTTGTGCACTTTAAAGGATTTAGATGGTTTAGGGGCTTAGGGGTTTAAGGGTTTAGGGATGTTTAGGGTTCTGGGTCCACCTTGGCAAAGGTGGTCCCATCTTTGTAACCCAAAACACTGCATGCGGTCTTCTTTTAGCTGGTGCCCCAACAGGTTTGTAATTTTGGGAATTCTTCCAGGAAAGCGCACAGGTAAACACGCAGACTTGCTGGGACAAACTTTGGGTTGTTGGATCGTCATAAACTCCTATAAGCTTTTTCAGGGAGCAACTTTCACCGCACAAACTGCGCATCAGGAGTGGGAGAATTGGCTGATGAAGACGCTTTCGACGACGAAGGCCACGCCGGTTCAGGGTTTAGGGTGTTGGGTACACCCAGCCTGTTTGTTCAACTTTCTTTAGCGGCCTCTTGCCACGAACTTCTGGCCAATCTTTGCTAAACATATTTGCAGATTCCTGCAATCAGGCCTCCAAAATAAGGAGTCTGATCATGAAGTTCCTAAAGATCCCTACGTTGCCCTGTCAAAAGCCTGCATTTTACTTAGATTCAGGCACGGCGGACCCTAGCTAACAAGGGAATCGCCACCCGTATTCCTTAGACTCTGTCCTCTATATACCATTACCATTCTGGATAGCCTCAAAAGGCTACCGAACGCTAAGCCCCAAATCCTACCGCAACTGGCTCCTTCTATAGTCCCCTTAAGTAGGTGGAATATGGAACTTCCCAAAATATAAGATCTCTACATACCACATATTTTATCTACTTAAGAGAGACTATATGTCAAGGCGAACGGCGTCGCCTGAGATCTAGACACTTGGATTTGCCATTGCAGGGCTGGGCCTGCCAGATACAAAGGTCCATTAGGGTTGTATTGGGGTTATGTTAGGGTTATATTGAGGTTATCTTGGGATAACGGAAAAGAACATGGAAACTACTGTAATGGGGTTCTATAGTTTAAGGTTTAGGGCTCGGGGCTCAAGCGTTAAGATCTGGGTTTTGTGGGTTAGGCGTTGGGATGTTGGGTTTTGGGGTGTTATGCCTCGATACCAAGCCGGGTTATACCTAGAGTACGGACAGAGGGTTGCTAAGACTTAGATCCCTCAAAGCTTAGAGACCAAAATGAGAGACTCTACTCACCTACCCTTGCGCCAGTTTCCACATTCGAGTGGCCCATTTGACCTCAATACATCATAGAGTGCCCAGCCCTCACATATGACTGGGTTGCTGTGAAGGACCTTGAATTAAGTTACCATAATGGGTATATATAGTAAATAATAGGGTTTCCCCAATATAGTAACTCAATTTAAGTTCCTTAACAGCAACCCAGATGAAGTGCAGCGCGCAGACTCCAAGGATTCAGGCGGCAGCTGCAGCTTTTGATGATCTACTTGTTCTTGAGCTCCTTCATTTCGAAAGAAGCCTTGGGCTTGACGAGCTCATGGGAGGAGCGTGGGTTTTGGGGGGTTGGGGTTGGGAAAACTGATCAACCAGCGCCATGTCCTTGGTTTGCTCCACTAAACCCAAAAGGATGGTCCTGGCGTAGCCAATGAGATCCCCAGAGTGTGCCCTCTTCCTTTCAAAAGTTCTGCACTCCCCAGGAGGAGCCCTAGGCCGTAGCTGAGCCCTATAAACCTAATTTCCAACAGGCACTATACTTCAGCGTTGTCACGTTGACAACCATTGGTCTCGGCGATCTCGTGCCGCAACCAGGCTTCGACTTGAAGATCTGTTTTCCAGGTACAGCAAACGGCGTATGTGTGTTTTCATAGGGCGTCCCTGCAAAGACCGCGACAGTACATTTTAGATTTGTATACGGACCGTCTACGCCCTATTATGTCCCACACCCAGACCGCAAGCCGCAAGCCCTGGTAGACCTCATCAAATCAAAAGTCCTACATCCCTGTAGAGAGCCTAGCATGCCAGTACATGATCGCAACATACTCCCTTTCCAGCCCCGAAGAAATCCCTGACACCCTCATACCCCCAAACCCTTAAACCCTAATACCCCCAAGCCCTCAAAACAAAATACCCCCAAGCCCTTAAACCCAAAAGCCCTAAGGCCCTAAATGCTGGATCAGCAGCCCAGGCTGACCCCAGCCGCGAAGTGGATCGTCTCACTGCTTTGCTTGGTTGGTGTTCCAATCTTCGGCAGCTCAGCTGGACTACAGGTTACCTGCAGAACGAACGAGGTTGCATACTCCTCAGAATAACGGCGGAGGATCAAGTGGAAACGGACATGAAAAAGAAGTAGAGACTGGGATTGTATACTGGTTTATCGGGTTTAGGGCTTGAAAAAAAAAAGGTGGCCGCTTCGTGAGGATGCCTGGAACAATTCACTTATTGTTTTGGGATCCATATTGTGAGTCGCTATGTCTACATCAGCTAAATAATAAATCCCCTAACCCTCTCTACAGAAATGTGCGCATGCTAATCGCCGCCATAAGAATAAAGGAAACGTTCTTTCTCTTCCCCCCAAAAACTCTTCCCAAGTATTTACTAAAAGGTGGGCCAGGTTAGCTCCCGCGGCCAGGTGGTAGCCTCAGAAACCAATGGCTCCTCTTAGAAGCCTTCTTTTCCGAATCAAATATAACTACCGGCTCGCAAAATTGCATACGGAGTTCTAGAGATTCTCTACTGCGGTGTTGTTCTAGAGGTAAGAACACCGCAGATCTTTTTTGCAAGTAGTTCTAGTTACATAGGACTTCATGCGCAGACAAGGGGTGATCCAGTTCAAGAAACTCTTCTTCCAACCCCCCAAATTCAAGCATCCCCGCAACCATTGCATGATATCTTGTAACTCTTGCATTGCAAAAACCCTTTTGACCCTATTTAAGGTTACGAAGGGTGTAGTGGTCAATTTTACCTGAAGGTGACTAGACGTTTTCGGAGAGCTCAGCAACTGTTGGATAGTATTTTTGACTACATAATTCATAACTTGGATGTTGTCTCTTTTGATCAGGGGGCACTAAACCCTTAACTTAATTGGGTTCTCAGCAAGTGCAGGTGGCACCCTGGCCGAGCTCGTGGCATTAATCTACGGTGAGCGACAGCGTGGCATCAAGCAGAGGTGCCTGTTGGGGATAGTTATCGTTTTGGGGTTTAGGGGGGTGTGGGGTTTAGGGGGCTAAGTCATTACCAAGATGATGGGATAAGAAGAGAATAGTATGGAAGCTACATAGGGTGTAGGCATCTGACCTCGACGATGGAGAATCAAATTTAAATAGAAGCAAACATGCAAAATGCATGGACACTGTAATTATGCAGTGTTTTTTTGGGATTAGGGTCTCCAAAATTCGAGGTCCTAAAACGAAGGATTATACGCCTGTTTTGCAGTTGAAGGCTCAGGCGGCCAATGGTAGCCACATGCCAAGTCGATACCTCAGGAATACATAGGATTTATAAAGGGATATACAGGGGTTATAGTTATAAGTAATAAAGGGACATACAGAGTTTATATAGGGATATGTGGGTTGTTTTAGGGTCGTATGTCGACAATGTAGGAGCAGGCGGGGCAGCCGACATGTCTGTCGGTAGAGGCGGTCGCTTCAACTCTAGAACTAACTCGCTGGCACTTTGAGACAATCAATAAATTGCCCTGTTGTGGTATAAGGGCCCTATTCATAAACATTTTTGGGGCCTTTACCTACCATCCAGCTAAGCTTCAGGCTTTGTTTGCATGCATCATGGGATCTGACTTCACGACCTGTATACTGTTCATGATCTTCCTGCGTCTCTGCAAGGCTGCCAGATCTCACCGTGGCAAAGCTGCTGAAGATGAGGAAGTTTGCAGAGGACAGTTTCGGTTACTTTCTCAACAAATCTTATATTCCTAGTATACCCTATACCCTAAACCCTAAACCTTAAACCCTAAACCCTAAACCACAATTGCAGGGTGAGGGGTCCTCCTAAGCTATACCCTACATGATGGCAAAACAAGAGGCAATGGATCCCTACTACTATAACACCCCCCAAGGCTAGTACCTGCAAGCCATTCCCCCATCCTCTACTTGCAGGGAGATCACCTATGTCACTCGTGAGGGTGCCTTTTTAACAGTTATAGTAGCAGCAAGAGTTCAGCAGTAAAAAATGCAATAGTAGCAGATAGTAGCAGTGGGGGTCATAGTATGAACAAGAAAATGCATACAACAACTATATCATACCCCTATTTGACCCTCATATGCCCACATAAACCTCTATATACCCCCTATACACAACCCCTATATACCCGTATATACACCCGAATTTCTACTTGGAGTTCGCCACCACGCTATGCATGCAAGACCCAATAGAAGGGGATACTCCATAAATCATGATCCCATAAGCCCTGCAAACATCTGTAAACTCTATATCATAAACCCTAAGCCCGAATCTCTAAACTCAAGGCTTTAAGTATTCTCACCAAACTCCAATGACATTCGCCAAGCCCCAAAGCCTAAACTGCGTTGATGTCAAGAAACCTTTACATACCATATACCCATAATGAAGGTAAATTAAGTTAATTTCCCTAAGCCCTAAACCCCACACCCTAAATCCTTAACAGCAACCAATAAATCCCTAATCTAGCCGCAGATGGCCCTTCCTTTGGGAGGAGCTGCATAGCCGTGGACTTCTTGGGGAGAAGGCGGAGGATGAGATTCGAAAGCTTGGGGAGCACAGGACAAGAGCCGCACCTTGTAAAGGGGTTTGGGATTTTGGATTTAGGGGGCTTAGGATCTCGATTTTAGGGGTTAGGCCATTGAGGAGTTGGAGTTGCGGATGGGGGGGTGAAAGGCAGCTGCAAGGATCCATATACGATATGTAGTTATGACTGCTCTGGAGGGATTCCATCATCCCAATACAAGCCTTATATAACCTCCATCATGGTCCCTCAGCCTGCAAGTGTTAGGGCAGGAAGGAGGAGGCAGAGTTTAGGCCGAAACCCCTAGGAATTCAAGAGTTGCTCCTTAAACACCCAAACTTGGAGGGTCAGGGAGACTTTATAACTGGGTTAATAAGGGGGATCACTAGGATTTCTATATGTAGCTCCTTTAAAACCCTGAGACGTGAAGAATTGTTTGCTAAACCTTTCCTAAACCCTCCTTGGGGCTTAGCTTGGACCTTAGACCCTTAACCGTCTGGGATTCCCTTATACCTCGATTGTAGGTGCCTAGGGGTTAACCCTTAGTAGGGGTCCTAAGTGCCGCGTAGAACCCTAAACCGTAAAGGTTTCTGAAGCAGCGGTGTTTTCCCAGGCCTGAGTTTCGTGGGATTCAGGATTGATTTCTTCCTTCAAAATGGGGGTGCCCAAAATTTGGGGTACCTTTTTGAGGGGTCCCTATACCACAGATTTTAGTATTTGGGGGTCTATATTGGGGTCCCCCTATTTAGGGAAACTACCATATTGCCGGCCAGGCTGACAGTCCTTTGACTTGCGCAGTCAGCTGTGGCATGCATTTGACCACGACATGTGGAACAGAACCCTTCTCATTCCTGCACGACGACTGTCAGCGCGATTGTTGCTTCACTGGGTAGGCCCCTGGGATATTTAGCATTTTCTTTATTGGCTTTAATAGGGAACCCTATATGCGAGGTTTTAGGGGCGAACCCAGTTCGGCGTCTTTCACGAAAGCCAGTATTGTGGCTTCTGCGAGGTGCATGTCCGGTACTTGTCAGAAGCAAGGCCCACAACAACGTCACCGCGGTAGACAGAAGGTACAGACATGGACTGTGCACTTTCATAGCGGCTCGACGTGCCTTGAAGGATTTCGCAGTTTGAGTTTTGCTGCTTCCTCCTTGTTCAGCGCCAGGGCCGCATCCAGTGGTTCTGTTTGTTGAGCTTTTGCAGATGTGGATCAAGAAATACGGGCCTCGTTATAAACCTCGATATAAAAAAAGCCTGAATTCTTTGATCCCCCAAGGGTGGCCCCGAATTTTGGAAGCCCCCATTCTGGATTGCAGTAATGACAGTGACAAGAAGTGCGCCGGACTGCTCTGGAGAACGAAAGCTGGGATCGATTTGCGTTCAGCACAAGCACAGCCAGCTATCATGCTCCCCGCATGAGTCAGACCTCAGATGGTAGCTTTGTCAAAGAGTATTTTCCTTTTTTGGGCCCCTAGTATAGTACAGCCCTTCATTGTCAGGGTGCCCCGAAATCGACCATAATTTTGACAACCCTCCATGTCAAGCTGTTAGGAATGACATCATCAGCATGGACGACGTGGAGGTGATTTCCAAGAATCTTGGTTATCCCTGGAATGCTTTAAATTGCTAGAAACCCTAAACCCCAAATGCTTGTAAAACACAGACATGCGCTGCTTAAAGCTTGGGAGTGGAGTACCTGTTCCATACCCCCATGGGGTATTATTAGGGTGATATTGGGGTTATATGAGGATAATGGAAACTACTACAATGGGTTATGTAGGGTTTATTGTACTCCTCCTCATTGGAGGCCCAAACAGGAAACTTCAGCCAGTGTAAATATGAGGGGACCTTGCATCAGGTCTATCTGCCCTCCATACTACTCCCACTATTACTATTACTATTACAATTACTTTTACTATGATTACTATTACTATTACTATTACTATGATTACTATTACTATTATTATTACTACTATAATAGTATTCCTATTTACCCAGCCAGTCCCAAAGCTCAAGCTCCCCAACCTGAAGCCCAAGAGGCCACCCAAGGCCCTACACTCATCATAAGAGCGGGACATGGCCCCAAGGGCCCAGACAGACGGGAGCTTCAAACAACAACATCAAATCATGCCGTAATCCCCAACCTCCTACCATAAACTACCTGCGCTAAACCCCAAACCCTGAACCCTAAACCCTAATGCAAGGAATTTCCTTCAGCTTGACTTATCTGGGGATGGAGCACTCTGGACAAAAGATGCTCTAGCCTGGGAGCTGAAAAGGCTACTCCAGCCGAAGACCAAGAAGGCAGGCAACATGGATCATATGGGGATTATCTATGGGGGGGGGGGGGTAACGGGTTTAGGGCTTAGGGGTTGTTTAGGCTTAGGGTTTAAGCTGGGTTACATAGGGATTATGTTGGGATTGTATCGCAGGAATGGAGAACCAAATGATGGAACAGAAAATGCAACATGAAATGGAAACCAGGGATGTATAGTGGCGTTGGGTTTTCAAAAATTTGGGGTACCTTTTTGGGGTGCCCAAAATAAGGATTATAGTTTATTGATTGGGCATATTGAGGTCCCCTCATTATGAGAAACTGCCATATAGTCATTTGTAAATGCTTGTAGAGTGGCTTATATAGAGAGTCTATCGGGATCCATTACGGGAACATAAAGTGATTAGACAGGGAGTGTACGGGCTGATACAGGGTGTTGGGAGAAATGGAAGAAGAACATGGAAGCTACTGGATCTTTTAAGGTTCAGGGATATCAGGGCCTAAGGCCAATCAACATGGAGAATTATATCGAAACTGGGCTTATATGGGCTTCCTAGGAGGCGGTAATTGAGGTGCCAAAGCAATTGGAACGGTTTTCGGTGTATGTTATGCTACGTTGTAGAAGGATTGTGCTGGGATAATCTTACTCATTAGTGAGTTGCTGTTAAGCAATCTAGGTGCAGTTGCTATAATCAGGAAACCTTCTTATTTACTGTCTACCCATATTTGCTGACCTTGTAGTCCCCCTTAAGTAGATAGAATATGGCTTTGGGTATATTATAATAAGATCCACATATGCCCCATATTCTAGCCCTAAACCCTGGACCCTAAGCCCTAAACCCTTAACCTTATAGAATCCCCTATATACCACATATTCTACTTAAGGGGGACTATAAGTTCCTAACAGCAACCCAGTTTCTGGCTTCTACACGGCTTGGAGATGGCGTTTGCCCTTGGGATGTTGAATGTTTAGGGTTTAAGGGTTTAGGGCTTAAGGGTTTAGGGTTTAAGGGTTTAGGGCTTAGGGTTTAGGGTTTAAGGGTTTAGGGTTTAGGGTTTAAGGCTTAAGGTTTAAGTGGTTATTTCCCAAAAGAGGGTGACGCAGTTAGTCCTTATTATGATAGGAACCCTTAAAACGGTATCCCTAAACACCTTCCACCCCCCCCCCCTCTCCCGAGCAAAAAAAACATATACATATACACGCACATACACACACACACACATATATATATATATACATATTTCTTATTGGGAGAGCCAGGTCAGCTCTGGAACACTTAGTCTTAGTAAGTATACCTTTGGTGGACCCCTCCACCCTGTAATAGTCGTATAATGGAAACAAAGAGGACCTCTCAATATAGTTACCATTATCTCTTATAGTCATTATTCCAGTAATAAGAATAACTTGAATGGAAAATTATGGATTATGTGAGAGTCCTTCTATAGTCCTGTTATATCACGATTACAGGGGGGGGGATGGCGCTCCTACAGTATACTCTGTAGCGTTTGCAAAGGCATCCCTGCCAGCTATCCTCATTGTTGACCTAGTTATGTAGGGCAGGGTGAGGGTTTGGGGGCTACTCACTCCTGTGAAGGTAGGGCTTTGAGCTATAACCTTCCCCGCCCTCAAAATGCTGGGGCTCGTTATGCTGGGCTTTGAGGGCTTAGGATTTGAGGGGTCTGAGGGTGTGGATGAGGATCTAGGGGTCTTGGTCAGGGTATGCAGATGTTGAGTAGACATCAGACAGGTCAGAACAGCATTACTTGGCTTGGAGGGCGAGAGAGCCTGCAGCAAGTAGGTTGGTCATGTGGATAGCTGGGGCGATTATAGGACTTTAGCGGTTTTAAGCACAGTTCCTAAGACCTACTAAGCCCCCCCGACCCTCCAAGTAGTGGATTGGGTCGGATGCTGTGCACTTGCAGACACAGTGTTATTACAGTGGGGAAACCATATTAATTACTATATATATGTATCCATTAATTATGGTATCTTAAACAACATCAGGGAAGTTTCATGTTCCGGGACTCTTAGGATTCCTATCGAAGCCGATAAGCAGCGGGATATCGTCCGTGCACAAAGGACGAGAGTTCCTAGAAAAACCGTCTAGAGCTGCTTCTGTACTTGGGATCCCTTACAAAACCATGTAACCCCTAAACCCAGTAGCCGGCTTTGCCTAAACCCTGGGGCTTCACATCGACCAATTGCCCTTGTATCCCCCAGCACGAGGGCGTGATGCGATGTCGTGTGCCTTCCCAGGGAGCAATCGGCAAGGACGTGCCGGACAAGAAGAACGAAGATATCTCAAAAGCCGAGGCTGAAAAGTTACGAGCCTTGGCTACCTTGTTGGTGCTTCTTGTGGAAGCATGCTTTGGGTTTTGGAATATGCGAAGAAGCAGCTAAAGTTCGCAGCTTGTCAGGTTCTCCAATGTAGAGGCCCATTTCGTTTTTGGAGATGTGTCCTAGCGATATGTGTGAAGCAACTTCTCCTAGGAGCCAGGTCCCTTACGAACAGAAATCCTGCCGACATCTGCGAAGAGAACTGCTGAAAATCCTTGTACCTCTCTGACTGTGGGGGGGTTGACTTCGTGTATGCCAACTTTAGGACCCATAAAGGGGCCTTGCAGAAGCCCTTTCCGGCCATGCTATACACATATCTCCTTATACATCCCACATTGCCCTTTCGAACACCCGCAATGGAATTCAACTCAGTGCAAAACCCCTCCTGAATTTCCACACCCTAGCCCTGGGGCTCCAAGAGCATAAGCAATATCTCACATAGTACCAACTAAGAAATATGGAGCCCTAGGGTAACAAACTCCAACTCTGCGCAGAAAACTCGCTGGATGCCATTGACATGAAGACCGCGGGCTGCATCGAGCTCTCAGAGCTTGAAAAGGCGCTGGTCAAGCTGCGCAGCTCTAATACTTGGAGGGTCAGGGGGACTTAGTAAGTAGGGTAATAACCCCTATAACCCATATAGAAACCCTATATATCCCCCCTTATGAACCCCCTTACTCTCCAACGCTTCAAATGGGTATCTGACGAGCGTGTATCCAGTTGTACCTGCACATGCGCACACATAGTCAATTGATATATCATGGCATATTTGTCCGGATTTTGTGTGGACGATTCATACACATATACAGATGCCTGTGCATACATGTGCGTAAGTGTAGGTGCATGGTGCTTTACTTGCATTACATTTGCGTGTACATACAGTCGTGCATCTGATCATGAAGACATTGCTTGTGGTTCCACATTCTCAGGTAGGGAAGAAAGCAATACAATTCCTACATAATGTATACCTTTATCCCCTACTAACCCCCAGAAGGTTGTTGTGTTTTTTTTTTTTTCCGCGAAGCCTTTGCGCGTTTCTTCTTGGCAGCTTGCCGCCAAGGGTGGGCGTCGATGCGTCAGGAGATTATGTCAAGACACCTGGCAGATGTTGACCTATGCCCCCAAACCGTACAGGAACAATTGCTCCTCACAGAAAGTGGCCGTTTTCCTAGGTAGCTGAACGTGCTCTTGCTGTCATCGCGCTTGCAGTTGCGGCCCATTTCTGCTTGAGGTTCAGCTTCGTATTTCTAGCATGCATTCCACACAGCTCATGCTGCAGAATTGTTTCTAAGTTCCAGCCTGGCAGCTTGTGCTTGGGTTTAGGGTCTAGGGTTTCTCCTTGTAGGATGATGCACAGTTCAGAGGCCCCTGCTCAGAAGCAAGCCCAGACAAGAGGCATCCGTGGACTAAAAAAAACATGTCCCAGATGAGCTATAGTCCAAACTCCTGAAAGGGGTGTTATATAGAGGATTATATAGGGGACTCCTATAGGGCTCATTAAGGGGGATACTTGGAGTTTAGACTACAATCCCCTATATAATCCTAGTATCCATTTCATTTTCCATCGTCTTTTCCAGTTGATTCTCCATTATTAACTGGGATACTACTGTAGCTAAACCCTAAACCCCTACCTCAAGGAAGTTTTTCTTGGAGCTGGATCTCAATGGCGATGGCAAGATCAGCTTCCAGGAGTACAAAGCGTTACTTCTCTGCAGGTTACGGGGGATAGACGGATGGTTGATAGCGGCCGGGTCCCAAATATGGATCAAGTTCAAAGTTTGGACAGTTGGCTTACAAGTCCTGGAAGGCCAGAACGCATGCTTCCCAGGCTCATTCGCAAGCTTTGTCGCACACGCAGTGCGCCCGCGGATTCTCTGGATCCAGAAGCGGAGAATTTCGAAAAGGCGTGAGCTGAGAAGCTGCAAGTCACTGCAAGTGTCGCCATCTTGGGCAAGCACAACTTTTTTAAGTGTCCATCGTTCCCCGCAGACTTTCGGTGATGCCAAGGAGGTGTGGCCCAAGCCTCGGGAATTTGCATTCTAGCTCGCCGGAGGCTCGCGTTGCTGGCCCAGAACAAAGAAGCCTGCTCATGGGAATACCTACTGTACCTCTACTCCCAAACCCCGTCAACCCTGCATATGGCGGCATGCCTGTGACGACGGGCTTCGGATGTAGAGCTTGCTTTAGAAGTGTGAATTCGAAGTTTTTCTGCCGAGCTCCACAACGTGAGTTGATGCCGCTTGGCAGTAGCAGTGGCAGTGTCAGCGGATGAGGGTTGTCTTGTTCTTAGTTTGCAATTTAGGCCATTTGCTACGCAGCGCCACTACCACTGCCAACTTCTACTTCCCATCTCTGTACATCAGTGTCACTGTCCTAGCGCAAGCCCTGTTTTTTACGATCTATGCTGTTCCTCACAAGCTTGTGTTTGCGCATGAGGATCTATCAGTTTCTCAAGGCTACAAGTCCGAGGCTAGATTCACTCGACAGCTCTGCGCAAAGCCTTAGCAAGGCTTTGCCCGGTTCATCAATGAGCTGTGCAAGAAATTTAAAGCACAGCAGAATTTGCACACCCTAGAGTGAAGGCCTCAAACTCCGCGCGGTGCCTGTTCAGGCATTGGCACAGAAAAAGCTTCCAAGAAGTATGGTCAGGGGCCGCAGTGGCTCACAAGATGACGGATGATGCCAATCAAATTCCGTGTTCATCAAGCTAGCGCTATTGAGGTCGCCAGGCCTGCGTTTCAACTGGACCTGTGCTGTGACAGTGAATCATGCGCAAGGCATATCTGCGTTTGACGGGGAAGGTGGGGATGGGCCTGTCAGCCGCGGGCTCGGTTCAGCAAAGTGTCAACAACGTCTGTTTGCTTTTTGTTCATTTGTTTGCATGTATGATGCATGTATGCATGCACGCATGCTGCTGGTGTGGTTGCTCTCGTGCACACAAGTGCAAGTGCTGCTACTCTTGCTGCTACTGCTACCACGGCGACTGCTACTTCTGCTGCTTCTGCGGCAAATACTTGTCTTCTTGCTGGTGACAGACTGAGTAGCTGTAGTAATCACCGGCAGCACTGCTGCCACCAATCGGAAGACCTTTCTGGAAGCAGTGCTATTCATCAGCCTCGTTGACGTAGCTTTCGCATTCAGACACGACAAGCATGATGCTGACATGCCTACACTGATACAGCTTTCGCTCTCAGATATGGATGGTGGCTTTGAGATCCTGGGCAAGGCCGACCGTACACAAAGCGCAGCTGGCTGCCCGGTGACCGTGATATCATGGTAAGAGCCCGTGCCTATGCCTTTACTCAGGAAGGTGAGCTGCTAGGTGTGATCCTCAGCGAGTGTAAAGTTTAATGGCCTGTGCTGAGAAAGGTTGTATATATAACCCCAATCTTACGCCTATATAGCCCTATATGATATAGCAGATTCCATTTTCTGTTCCATTATTCCTATAACCCTAAAACCTAAATCCTAAACCCCTGTATAAGGGCCTTGGTCTACGGACTTTAGGAGGGACCCCTAATAGGGACCCTTGTAGCTTATGGGGGTTAATATGGGGACTACCTAGGGATATAGGGGTTATATAATGACTTTAGAATGGTTACATATGGTAATGGGATTAAGGGTC